ACCCATGTAACTTTGTCCTCTTCTCGGACGGTAACTAAGGATTTTTCGCTATCCGAATCAGGAATTATATGAAAAATGTACGTACTAGCAAACGGTACAAAATTTAATAATGAGTACATCTACACATTCTGTACCCTGGTTTCAGAGAATTTCATTCTCTGTCTAATATATGACAAAGAACAGAGAGACACAGAGAATCGACAGAGAAGCCTCTGGAACCAGGGTACACCATGGACCGCGGAGCAGGGGGGCTTGGGGGCTACAGCCTCCTCCCCTCCCCCCCATAATCATTCCGACATTTTGAATTTTCTTAAATTAAGAAGCGAATAGCCTCCTTATGAAATTTCACCATATATATTCTATTAAAATTGTGTACAAAAAACTGAGCGTGAACAATTAAAATTGCAAAGCTTTTTTGCGAAGTCTTTGGGTTTATTGATAATATCGCTGACCGTGTGTGCGGTAAAAATGTCTTGGATAACGCATCAAAACGCTGGAAATGACATTCCTCTACAGTACATCTGAGCTCAACAGTCAAACACAAATATTGGTCATCCTCGGGAATCCAAGTACTGCTGTTGACCCCTGGTTTCTGAGGATGAAAATTAGATGACAATAAAGGGAATAAACAAATTCCTATAACTAGATTGAATCAAGGCCGTGCATTGTGATGTCAAAGTGTCAAAGTGCAGAATCTGAGAATCAAACGCGGGCTTCGTTGTCCAAATACTCGCGCCGCGCGGCGGGGACAGGCCGGGTGTCAGGCAGGATTTGCAGTCACAGGACAGTTCATCACATACATAAGCGGAGCATTGTCTGTGCACAACTGGACTCTCTCTCGCACAGTCATAGATACCTTCAGGAGCCCATTACTAGGTAGTAATGGGCTCCTGATAGGCTTATGCATCAAGCAGTAGCCAAGTGAAGCGGACAGATGACAAAATATACTGAACGACTTCAATAAAATAAGTATAAATTTCGTATTAATTTATTTGCAAAATAACTGACAAATGTACAAGGGTGATCAACTTGTAAATAATCAGCAAATATTCACAGAGCGTGGATTCACGATAAACATTTTCCTTTGAAATAATATAATACAATAAAAATGTAAGAACTATAAACTATATAAAAATCTAAAACCTAAAAAATCTAAAACCTATTTGACTTATCTACTTTCATTATTTCAATCAAATCTAATAACTATTTCATTAAATAAAAAAGAATATTATCGACCCGCAATACCCGCGAGCGACGCCATTTTGTAGAACAAASCATGATGGGAATTGTTGTCCCGAACTTTTTAAACGACMTTATTAACGTATGTTTCCTTTGTAGAAACAGCACAACTATTTCTATTTCTGCAATGAAAAAGCAAAAACGKCTAAAGAGGACTGTATTWGGTAGAAATGAAAAATGGACTACAACTTCCATCATGYTTTTCTTGCATTAAATGGCGACATTTCCTATTGAGGATTAATAAAAAAAAGAAAATATTAATGAAGGATGTGGAGTGTCGAGTTCCTGTGTTATAGTGGSCTATGAAGAGACTGGGACCTTCCTTAATTTGAAGCYCCACATCACTGTATTTTGACGTCATAATGACGTCATTGATATTCTTTCGTCACGAGTCCCCCTCTGCAGCAAAAGCATCAGCTTTGAGTACAATGTGTTTTTGGAAAGGCGGTTTGTAGTCGGGAAAGTCGATGTCGGTGCCAAAACGAACTCTCTGGATTTCTTTTGCTCGTAGAAGCTCTTCCTGTAAAAATAACAGTAAACATGTTATAAGGGGGCTTTCATTTATTAGCTCATGGGGGGATCT